ACGGGGGTGAAGGGGCAGGTCCTGACACTACGGAGTCGCGAACCGGTACATGTCCATGTCGACACCCGTACACTTCATCACCCCGCCTGCACCGTCTTGGAGATGCATTGGGTCGGCGCGTGTGTACCTGGAAGCAAGTGGCTATAGGATGACACGCAACTACGACTACAACACCTTCGAAGTGTCACGACTGACTCTGACATAATGCTGTCAAAGCAACCAAGCTAATCACATGGCCGTGCTATAAATGCGGTTTGTAGAAAACCAGGAGCTGCCATGGTCAAAAGCAAATGCGCGTCATGTGTTGCACTAAGCTGACAGATGACTGCCGACTCCTGAGGTCAAAGTTTCTGAGACAGAAGCGGCTGATCAGCTACACAGAGAAAATCGCGAGCACCACATGCATTCCCGTACATCATGCAAGGACCTACCACTCTGACACTTCAGACTTGGGAACCCAGCACTGCTACAAGACACGGCAAACATGTTAACCAAACTAGGAACAACTAGGAAACATACAAACATGCTGCAGGTGGACAGGAAATGGCTGTGCTCGAAGCTGCAACTACAAGACTGCAGGCCTCGTCACGGCTACAAATAATAAAGTCCAGAAGTCTTACCCGGGATCTATAACCTCAGGCAATTCAAGCTCACATCTCTTCCCATAGAAAGACGGTTGTCCAGTTAACTCTACCGACGAGGATTGCCAAAACCAAAGGCGCGCATGGGGAAGAGGTCTCATAAGTCTTGTTCAATGTTCAATGTGGTCCAAAAACCCTTTGTGACAACAACTGGCAAAACAAGATGTTTAGCTGACAAAATGGGTTTCCTAAATCTTGTTTCGCAAGCCCCGATTCCATATTCATCCCTTGCTTGACAGATCAGATTATGTTATACGCAATCATCGGCCAGCACTGTGCGGCAAATTACAAGCAAACTGGCTGTTGCGACGAGTTTCCCATTTGCTGTCGCACTTTGGTCGTCTGTGTCACGAGCCGGGCAGAGTGAAAAGCAGCTACACAACCGAAGGCCACTCAAGTGAGTGATCTATGCCACTCCAACTGTACCTTGGGGCCTGTGGTCTGCACCACTGCAACTGTAGTTTCCCATGCTCTGCGAGGCAAAGGCTCCTGCGAGCCTCACGCACCTCTCATTCTGCCCGATCTCCCTGCAAGCACATGTCACAATCAAAACAACGACAACAATGAGGTTGGCTCGGAGCGGCATTGATAGCATGGGCGCTGTCCATTCTGAGACAGAACACTTTTATTACTGTGTTTCAAATGCAGGCTCTCTCTCTTTCAGTCAAATGTGACACGGACATGATCAAAAACGAAACTGCCGCAGGTTCGGTACGGCATTGACAGAATGGACGCTGCATAGCTTGGAATGACTGGTTCAGCAGTCAAAACCAACCAGGCTCTCTAACTCTACCACGCCTAGTTGGGGGCTCTCGCCAACTCTGCAGCCTCCGCCTCAGGACAGCATTGCTCTGGCCCGGTATGAAAAACCTTTGAAACATGCTCCCTGCCTCCTTGGCTTCGACCAGGAGCTTCAAATCTGCGGTGGACAACATTTTGGCCGCCTGCAGGAACAACAGACTGGTGCACAGATTCGCCACTAACATTCAAACGCTTTATGGTCAACTAGACCCCTACAAGAAAGATCCAAGCGATTCCACCGAAGGTTAAGAGAAACATCTGCTTGCCACCCAAACATCGGTGGCAATACTATGGGGGAATGCTGCCCATGTGGTCTTGGAGAACTACGCGTTTCAAGCTCCCAAATTAAGAACCTATATCTGGCCACCTTCAAACCACAATCAGCACACCAACATCCCGCACCGCTGCACCTACAACCCTTCAAGGCCAAGCCTGCGACCCCAAACAAGCGCACTGTGGCAACCGCGCGGTGTAGACTAACCAGCCCACAAGCAGCAAGGCCCCAAACAAAGCCCGGTGTCTAAACACAACCTACCGCCTACCGCCCTCACGGGTCTACCTACCGCCCGTCCAGGTCAAACCTACGGCCTCAAATCCCGGTGTTTAAGGTGTACCACACCCCTGGTGTTTAAGGTGAACCACACCGGTGTTTAAGGTGTACCACACCCCTGGTGTTTAAGGTGAACCACACCGGTGTTTAAGGTGTACCACACCCTGGTGTTTAAGGTGAACCACACCGGTGTTTAAGGTGTACCACACCCCTGGTGTTTAAGGTGAACCACACCGGTGTTTAAGGTGTACCACACCCCTGGTGTTTAAGGTGAACCACACCGGTGTTTAAGGTGTACCACACCCCTGGTGTTTAAGGTGAACCACACCGGTGTTTAAGGTGTACCACACCCTGGTGTTTAAGGTGAACCACACCGGTGTTTAAGGTGTACCACACCCCCGGTGTTTAAGGTGAACCACACCAGTGTTTAAGGTGTACCACCACCACGGTGTGTAAGGTACACCCTACCTGCAACCCTGCAAGCCCGCCTACGACCCTCAAACCTCCACCTACGACCCTTCCAGGTCACACCTGCGACCTGCAATCTCCTTGTACAGGGAGTGGACTGACAGGGGTGTCTCCAAGCGACAAACTCAAATGCACGTGGACTGACAGGGGTGTCTCCAAGCGACAAACTCAAATCCGTTTTACCTTTGCACATTCGCCAGTTCGGGGTTCTTTTTGACCTCTTACTTTGTTCCAAACTGCTTGAAAACATCGAGCTCACATTTGTTCTCTGTATCTTTTAACCTAGCACTTTGTCTTTTAGAAACGCTGCTTACATTCGCTGTCCGCAAGGACCATAAACCAGTTTTAGCAAGCAGACAGTATAAACGACTTCCACCAAGATTTCTTTGCACTGCGTAAATCTGCATGGACAGCGCCTTGACAAGTCGCTTCTTCCGCTTTGCTGCATTCTTAGCTGCCTTGCGATTCTCTCGCATTGCTTTGCGCAAGTCGGAGCGCTGGCCCTTGAGCCTTGCCAACTCGTCTTTTGTAATTTCCTGGCCGACAAGGTGGACCCCAAAACTGGCGCCGCTTTTGCACTTCAATTTTGAAGCCCCTGGACACAGCCCCCCCAGTGCAGCGCACAAACTATTTTCCCACAAGTTGTACCCTCAGTCTAGGGTGCGGACCGCATGAGGGTTCCATTGGATGTATTTTGCCGCATTTCCTTGCCACTTCAAAGGGAACAGGCAGTCAGGCAAACCACCAGAAGGCATTGTTGAGGGAACGGGCGGCGCATCCACCCATCCGAGCTTGCTGAGCAAGGGAGAAGAAATACGATGCTGATATCCAAGAATACCATCACTTTCAAACGCATGCTTCCATGGCTTCGACGACAGCTTTTTGGTGGCATTTGCGACAATTTCCAACCACAGTTCCAAGCTCACCTGTCCATCTGGAGCTGCAGCCCTTCTTCGTCTCCATGACTCTTGCACATTATGCTTGAAAGCAGCAAAGATGTGAGTGTCGCATGGCTGAAGTAAGGACGTCATGCCAGGAGGCACAAATAGGAGACGCAATCCCAGGGAATAAGCCAAATCAAACAAAGAATCATGCAGGTGGCACGGTGCCAAGTCTAGCAACAACAACACCTGGCGGGATTCCAAAATAGCCCCCAATCTGTCACAGAGGAGTCGCAAGTATCTGGCCATCAACCGGTGCGTATTCCATGCGGAGTTCTCTCTCCAAACCACCACCCGCGGACACAGCTCCGCAGCATGCCGGGCAAACGCAGCTGGGAAAAGACGCTTGTTGCCCAGCAACACCTGGGGCAGAAGCTGCTGGACTTCAGGATCATGGGTGACAGCGCAAATGTATGTGGCCCTGGCTTTGAGAGCCTGCGATTTAACTTTATCCATCGGGGCACCTTGTCGAACAACTGTCCCAGACAACGCGCCCCAGTGAAACCCAATGCTGGACTCATCCATGTTGATAACTAAAGGCTCGTCACCAGCATCCTTCAATGCATAATTGCACCATTGCCAAAAGGCCATCGCCTGCCAAAGGCCGCTTGACAATGATCATTTTCAGTCCAAAAAGCGGACCCCATTTTGGGGTCTATTTTCCGGACCCAAAAATGACAAGCAATTTGGCTAGGAAGTGAGAAACCTTGGTCATCTGCACTTTGGGGTCCGCTTTTTGGACCCCAAAACGGGGTCCGCATTTGGAATCAAAAATGCGTACAAATGAGATCCAAAACTTGCACTGTATGCTTCAAAACTGCAAGAACCGGAGGTTGTGATTTGTCATGGTCCTACAAACAGCAAATCAGCATTTTACCGGAATACCCAAATATTGACCGAATGTCAACACTGCATCTCAAAGAAACCTTTACAAATCTGCTTGCACAACACTAACCCAGCCAATCAACCACCCGTGCCTTGGACTGCTTCTCCTGCAACGACATTGGTGGACTCGTCCGTAGCTTGCCAAGTTTGCACCCAAAGCGATTCCTGAAGGCCGCAAGGTACCTGCGCTGGCCGCGTGCAGTTGCTAATGGGCGAAGTAGCCGCGCCTGCAAGTCAATAGGCCAACTGTCGGGCAGCAAATGCTGGACGCGGTCGACCATCATGCGCCGCGATGGGGCCACTCCAAATTCATAATTCATTTTCTGAACCCACTCACGCAGTTGGAACAGCACTAGGTAGCGAAAGGCTGCCAGTAGCCGATGTATCGGATATTGTCGGTAAGGGTCCAACATGAGCATGACCTTGTCTTCCAAAGGAGCTCTGATGTACTCCCACTCAACGTGAGCCACTGCACTGTCCAGCGACATGCAACGTTTGGATCTGGAAAGGTGGAAGTGACCAGCGACATCGGCACGATAGCCTGAAAAATAAAGACAACCAGAGCTTGTTGGTCAACAATTTCTTCCCGAGCTGTTTCTCTCTGCTTGGCTCTTCTGATATGCCGTTGCAAGTTAGCAATCTTCTTTTGCACCTCCGCTAGTTGGTCACACATGGCTAACAAGCGTGCGCGCGCAATCAAGAATAGCAGTGCACCTATCCGAGCAGCAAATGTTTGAGCCAAAAAATCGTCAACAATTCAGATTTGGCTTTCGGCTTTGCTGCAGAAGCTGCACAGTACGTTGAAGCCTCCATGGAACACGGATGAATGCAGAATTGCCACGGCAAAGTCTCACTGGTTCCACTGTCGATCCTGATGGTTTCCATATAGTCATAGCTGGACCAGCCATCTTGGTTGCTGCCTCGTTGCCCATCTCTGGTCCAGTTGCCCCAGTCGTCATCGTCTGCGGCATTTGCATCTCTCCGTTGTGTGACATCTGGTTGATGCCATTGCCACTCACTGCTGCGTCTCGCTTGCCAGTCGTGCCATTGACTTCCTGCTTCCCAGTTGGCCGTGCTTTCAGCTTCAGCCTGGTTGGATGCAGCAGCTGGAGCAGCTGACTGGCGAGGTGGTGGAGTGCTGCGTGATCTATCGGATCGATAGTTGGCCTTTGTAGCTTTTCGGCGGGCCCGCTCCTTGTTCTTCTCTTCGAGGAAACCCGGCTTCAGGGCTTGCTTGGAATACCCATGTGACCAGGATTTCGGGAAATCCTCAAAGGAGGCACCCTCCATTTCAGCCAAGGCTCGCTGATGTCGGGCGGCCCGTTGCCGGCCCTTTTGGCGTTGTTTGGCCTCCGCATAGGTGAAGCCATCCTTGAGATCCTTCTCGAATTTGCCTGGGTGCATTTCGGGCAGTGGACGAGTGCTGAACTCAAAGTTGAGCTCCTCCAGTTTGCTCTTGCACCGCTTCCATGCTTGGGAGCGAAGCGTCTTCCTCATCTCTGGGGGTGCTCGCAGGAAAGCTTCCACTTTCGTCTTGGTCTTCTCGAGCAGCTCCTCATCTTCTGGCTTGTCCTCAGGGGTTCGATCATCGTCATCACCATAGTCGACTTCAGACTCGTCAAACCCAAAGTGGTTCACCTCAGTGGGCGGAGCGCCCTCAGAAGATGATGCTGTTGCGCCTGAACCGAGTCCCATAGCTCTTGCCGGCATGGCATAGTTGGCTGCTGGCAGTGGCGGAGGGGGCTTCTTTGGTGCTGGTGTCTTCTGCATCAGCACTGGAGGAACTGGTTTGGGGGCTAGGGCTTTCGGCGGCTCCTTTGGACTGCAGCTGCTATCATGCGATCCTTTCTCTTCGAGTCGGCGGAACGCCAATCCTCTGCGAGGCCCCCTTGCATTTCCCACACCTCTTCTGGGAGGAGAGGACGGACCAGACCCGGCCGTCCCACCTTCCAACAGGGTGCCTCCTGGGATCTTGAGACGCTCACCTGTGAGCCTAGGTCCGCAAGCTGGGCCCCGTGTGCTATGGACCAGGTGCCTGCTGCCGGCGCGCACGTCAACCAAGTGGCCGACTGGTTTTGGAAGCCACTTGTCTCCGGTGGTGATGAGGTTTGGTTCTCTCGTGAAAAGGTAGTCGGGCGGGCATAATCCCTTACCTGACTCCTCTGCGGATCGCAGAGGTAACATCTGACACTCGTTGACTTGTGCAGCTCGCCATGCTTGAACTCTCTCCTTTTCGTCGGCCGTTCCTCCAGAAAGCCAAAGTCTTCTGGCCCTGATAGTCGACCACTTGTGCCTGACCCCATTGAACCTGAAGCTGCATCAGGCGATTTCGGCTGGTTTCAGAGAGCTCCCTGGGCTGGTCAACGATAAGTCGTCCTCTCCAATCAGTTCTGGCGAGGGTTTTTAGAAGGATGTCTGCCTCCCGCCCTTTTGGGTCTTGAGTGAGAACACAGACGATCCAGTCAGCTTGCGCCTGGCTTGCGATCGATCCTCCGCCCTTGGCCCACCCCAGCTCGAACGTCAGTAGTTCCGACCCTAGCCGGATTTGGTGGAGTCCCCCTTTGAATGGCTTTGGCTCGATCTTGGCGGGGAAGGCATGCACGGTTTGCTGTTCGTTGGCCAGCTGAATGGCTAAAGCTGCACTCGGGCCCTTCTCCCCTGGTAGCTTCAACGTGGGGCGCATGGCTTCTCGCAGGAGTCCTTCCCAGTCCTCATTGAGCTCGAGGCGGGTCCAGCCACTGCTTTCCATTTCCGCATGGACCTTGTCTTCATCCTCCCTTGTCAGCCAGTCGTTGAGAGTATTGTGGTAGGGACGGACGTACGCTCCATCGACAGTGAAGCTATTCTCCGCTTCGAGCCGCTGGAGCAGCAGCAAGAGCGCCCTCACGTATCTGTTTGAAGCGCGCCTGGTACGTAACCTTCCTTTGACATTCATGTTGTCAGTCACATAAAGGATCAGTTGCCCCTGCCAGGTTTCCTTCCGCGCCGCTGCCAGGACAATGAACGTCAGAAGCTCCATCACTCCGATGATCTCCAAGTGATCTCCGCCCCCTACGACTTCGTTCACGGCCCTGACGTATCTGCTGCTGTCCGCCATGTGGTAGCATCTATCCTTCCAATCAGTGCTTCCGAGCCTGGTTAGCGTGGCATCTCCTCCAACGAATCGGGCCGAAGCGGCCATGCCAGGGAGTGCGAGCCTTTCCCTTAACGGCAGGAGCTTGCCGAAAGCTGCTCTGAAACTGGTTCCCCAAGGCTTTTCCATCTGGAGGCGAACCCAATCGAGCGCATCCCAGAACTCAGCCCAGGCAGCCTCTAGCTCACTCTCGGAGCCCCTGGGTTTCACCCATTCATGATCGCCTACTTCCTGCTGCAGGAGCCTGTAAAAGACTGGTAGATAGGGTGCAATCTCCGGAGCGGAGACGGCCCAATACTGCGCTGTCCCTGCCAGTTCTCGGAGCAGCTTGGTACGAACTCGTTGGCACCCCCTTTGAAGCTGAGGCTCTCTTAGGAGATACTTCGCCTTTATTCGCTTCGGTTCCGGGAGGACCACAACCTGTTCTTCAAAGTCTAGGTGGAGGCCCCACAGGAGCTGGGATTTTGCCGGGGTGCCTTCTTCGGCGAGCTTGTCGAGATTGATGGCTCCAGGGCCCCAGACTGATACCATAGCTGCATCCATTGCTGACAGGGATCTCTGGATCCTATTCCCCACTAGTGGCTCTACCACCACGCCGTCATCCATCAGCCATCGGCTGGTGTAGGGCACCACATCGTTGAATTGAGGATGGCATGGTCGGAACGACCCGTGGTGCTTTTGGGCTGCGGTGGCCCATATCACGAACTCCCCTGGCGCTCCTACCCAACCGAACACCATCACCAGACTCAGGATCAGCACACCTAGAATCCTCGTGCAGAATTCAGGGACATCGCCCGGCTTGAGGAAGTGCCACTTGAAAGCCCTTGGCACATCGCGTTTCGCACACCTCTGTGGAACCTTCGGGTGTCGCACCCTCCACCAAAGGCTTTGCCTGACCACTGCTCTGTGCCTAGGCTGAGCGGCGGGGGGGTGGTCGTATTTGGAGCCCGAAGCATTCCTGGCTCGCATATCGTTGATGGGACGACCTTCCGCTGAGATGGTTCTGTCGGGGTTTTGCTTGGGCACTCGGCCGAGAGGGCTCTCGGCCACCTTGCTCTCGGTCAGTATCTGGTCGATTTGCCGATTTTCTTCTTGGTCCTCGGTCTCTGTGGAACACAGAAGTACTGCCCCGTAAGATGCGTCTTTCCATGCCTTCTGCAGCATCTCTTCCTCGTGCCCCCTGATGGAGCCGTGGTTTCGGGCCTTCTCTCTCTTGGGGGTACTCTTAGCTCGGCTGGGCACGCCCTTGAGCACACAGTCTTTCAAGTATTGCTCGTGTAGGGGGCTGAGCCCTTTCAATGCTCCTTCCTTTGCCTTCCGGAAGTGTTCCCCATACTTCCTCAGCCTCGCTTTGTTGACTAATTCAGCTGCTCTTGGCACCGAGCCGGCGGCCCTCAACAACGCATTTCCTGCCTCTGGCTTTTCTCACTGCCTCCTTGCTGTAAGCACTCTGGCATACCTCCAAGTATTTCTCAGCAGTGCTTTGGCCATTGGCGTCGTCGACGCTGCCTGCCCTTGTGCCCTGCCCCTCAGCTTGCTTTTCGGGATCGGAAACAGACCCCTCCCCCCCACAAAACGTACAAGGGTAGACCATCTGTTGGAGTTCGCATCCTGAACAGGTGTAGCTATGTGGGAGGCCTGGTCCATCCGCTTGGCCAGCAACCACCGGTGCCAAATGTTGGCCAAGGGTTCGCTCCAACGTATTGGCTGGATCAGCCGGCCAAGGGGGTGCGTCCAGTTCGGTCCAACATTTCTCTAGGGCTTTGAGCACGCTGTGCTCTTGCAGATATGTTGTCCAGCTCCATTCTTCAAAGGCTGCTCGGACTACCAGACCCCAGGCTGCACACAAAGCTGGTGCGTATTGCTGTGCCAGTCGAGTGAGAGGTACTTGAGAATTGGACTGGGTCCCTTCAAGGGTGCGTGCTGGTGAGTCGGGCCGACTCCTGGGCACTGCCTACCAAGGAATAACAAGGCCCATGGGTAGAGTTCTGGGGAGACCAGCCACCAAGAATGCTTGCGATGAAACAGGCCCTCCTCAGTCTCAGGCGGTCCCAGACCCCAAGCGCACATAGCCATAGGCCATAGAGACAATTTTTGCGCCGGTGCGGCGGCGGAGCCTCTGCATACAAGGCAGGTCCCATATCTTGGGATAGCGGCCCGACGGCGCGCTACTCTCCAATGCGAAGACTCTTCCGTTGTCCGCCAGAACCGTACAAAGTTCGGCTGCGAACTCTGCGTCTTCATTTCCTTGAACTTCAGAGGGACGAGTGCCGTCGCCTTGTGGGCGTTGCCAGGTCCTGCTGCCACCGTTCTTCAGCTGGTGGTCGCAGAAGGAAGTACAAACGACTCCAAGCTGCCAAGTGTTGGGGACATCGGGCCCTGGTGGAGCACCAGCTAATCCCAGCAATCGTTCTCGGACCTTCGGGTCACGGGTATCATGCTGCGGCTTAAAGCCCTTTTGCTCGATCGGGTCCTCATAGTATTCAATGGGTTCTCCGCACGGGATCCCCTGGTACTGAAGCCCCTTGGTCCATCCTGCCCATCCAGCGTACACCTCTTGACCAATTGGCCCATAGGCGAAGGCGAGCCTTTTTCGCAGAGGCACACCGCTGTTTTGAAGAGCCTGTGGATCATCCTGCAAGCAGGACTCAAATGAAGCCGGTGGCAACGGGAATCCTTCACCAACACGATAAGGCCTTTGCTGCTGTTGCTGGCATCTTGTGCAGGCGGGGGACTTGGCTGGAACCATCTGATCCTCCACTTTGCTCTGGTCCAAGATCACCCTCCAATGTTCAACCTGAAGTTCCCTGGTGACCTTGTCTGCAGTCCTCAGGTGATCCAACAGCTGCTGGGGCTGTTGTGGAAGAAGCAGGCGCATATGCCCCCGGTGGATGGTAACGAAAACTAGCTTCCCATTGCCAGCATCATCTCCATGGAGCAAGTCGACCTCCAACCGACCAAAATAGGAAATCCTGAGGACCGCCAACGTGTATCCTTGCAGCATGGATTGTGAGGGTTTGCAAGGCGCGGTAGTCTTTCTCGTGGTGAGGAAAGAGGCAATCATGGACGTTTTGACGCAAGAAGTGCTCGCCCTCAGGTATCCACGCTGGCGGATCGCCAAGGTGTGCGTGAGCCTCCACTGCTTCATCCCAGAGATGTTTTCTCAACTGGTTGGCTCTGGCTACGGCCTCTCGTAGTTCTACAGGATCATCGGCCAACGCTAACCCGACACCCACATGAAGAAGCAGGCATTGGCGCTCTTCTTCCAACTGCCCGTCTTGCAGTGGGACCTCGCTGTCTTTTGCGTTCAAGCGATCCTGGTAGTCACGGACCGTGACTGAGCCGATATGCGACAAGTTTCCTTGAAAGTTCAACAGGCCATGACCAATACCCTCGTCCCATGTGATGGGCGTAAATTCGACATCCGCTTGGTGACCCGCTTTCGGCTCGTGCTTGAGGAGCTCACGTTGACGTCCGGCTTCCTTAGAGAGCGCGGGATGTCCATGTTCTGCCGCATCTTCGAGACACCGGTTCAGCTCCAGTTCATATCCTTCATCTTGTGCTGCCATCATGCGTGCAATCACATGGGGCCTGAGATAATCCGTGGGCGAATCCAAGGCCGCCAGAACCCCTTTCTCCTCCAGCGACTTCCATCGTTTCAGCCTTTCCCGCTCCTCTTGGCTCTGGTCATCCCAAGCCGGAGCGGCTTCTTGCTCAGTGGGTTGTGAGGGTATTCGCTGGGATGCGGCCACACACATGGGATGCACAAGAGGCGACAAGTGCCAGCACGCGCACGAGCCTTTGCCGGGATTGGTCAAACTTGACTACACAGTTGCCATGCAGGCCATTCGAAGAGGAGGACTCAAACGACCCCAAAGAGGCCGACGGAAGGGTCGCTCAGCTGCGGACCCAGGCAGCGGCGGATAAGGCCGACAAGATCCAACCTAGCAAGAAAGCGAAAGCCAAGCCCAAGCCAAAGGCCAAAGCTGGGAAGGAAGCTGAGGGTAAAGCTGAAGAAGACAAGGTTGGGAACACCCAGTGGGTCGCACCTGAAGACTATGATATCCCTCTGACCCATCTCGAGACTGACTTGCAAGAGGCGGTTCAGGGCCCAGATGAGAGCTGGCTGCAGATAGGTTTGTTGGTCTTGGGATCCTTAGGTGCGTGCTCCACGGACCGTGAAGCTTCTCCTTGTGTAAGCCGTTTTCCAGCTGGGTAGGCTGATTTCACGCTGCCGCCCGCATATCCATCGGCCTCTTTGTCTTTCAGGTTAAGCTTTGGGGCTTTCCCTGTCCTTGGCTCTTCATCTTCAGCTGGACCAGCTGTCTACTTCTGCTTGAGGTTGTGGTCGTGCAGCTGCTTGTGGAGCAGCCTCGACATTTGCCTTTGCTGCCTGGGTACCATAACTGTCTGGTAATATCCGTTCGGGTCGCCCAGATCCCATATGCTTGGAAACTGGAAGTTTGCTTGCCCATCCGCTCCCGGCGCCAAAGCTAGCAGCTTCAGGTCTTCAAGCCGTGGATTTTCGGTCCCCAGCAGAGAGCAGAGTTCCTTCTGCTTTCTCGCAGTTCTTCGCACCAAGCCGCGACAAGTTCCTCAAAGAGCTCGATGCAGTAGGCAGCTGGGAAGGCATGCTCGTCTTCTTCATGGGCCTCCTTCAGGGCTTGGAGACAATCGAGCCTTTCTTGGATATGCTCTGTACCATAGCAGGATCCAAACACGCAAACTGAGTTTTCCGCGTACCTGAGCCAAGTGTTGAAGACTCCTGGTGGTCTCATGCGATTTTCGATCTTGTTGTCGGAGGACGGATTCCAACTGTCCAACTGCTCGGACCGAGCGGTAACGCAGTCACTTGCGTGCAAGGTATAGGTGTCTTTGCCACCCCACCACAGACCAGCGATGCCAAGTAGGACCCTGTTGGTCATCAGCACCGGCCATTTGATCAAGTGCAGCATATGGCGAGCGTGATTTGCCACCCTTTTCCCCGCGTGGAAAAGTTCCTTCCCGTACACTCCCGGTGCGAGTTCAACGGTCAGGGTGCCACAGCCTCGTGCCAGGAAGACGTCCATCTTCTCCGCCTCTTTGATAGAACTCAAGGTCCCTTTCGTGAGGTTTTTGTCGTCATCCTGTGCTCTTCTCAGACCGTCGATGGCGTGAATGATGCGGTCCGCGCTCTGGACTTGTGTGCTGTCTCCGAGGGCTTCTCCGAACGTGGCTCCTGCTCTGCCATCCGGCATCTGCTCTGATGCTGGTTTCACGAGACTGGGGGGATTGAGGAGGAGCTCCTCGGCAGAAGTGGATTTGCCGGCCGGGGGACTGCTGGCTTTACGGTCACTCCTCCTGGCATAGTTGCCGTCACGGGTCTTCTTGCAAACTCCATTTCGCTTTGGTCGGCTCCCAATCCTGGTGGTGTCGTTGGCTTCGAGTAGCTAAGGCGGTGATTCCTCGCATACATCGACTGAGCGAGTTGCTCATGATCTAGGTCGAAGGCAGTGGCCACGGTCTGCAACACTTCGGAATCTATCTCTCCCTCAATGTGCTGGTCAAGAGCTCTTCGAGCCGCCTCCATTCTTCCCTGGCGATCTGAATCATCTAGGTCTGGGAAGGGTGGAATCGCCGGTCCCGCACCCTCTTCCAGCTCGACTTTCGGCTTTGGCGGTGTCATAAAGTCGTCGGACATCTCAGCTTCTTCACGCAAATATGCATCAGCATGTGGGAGGATCTCCCGGTAGAGTCTCCCCTGCCAGGCTTTACTTGGCTTCGCTCCTTCATCCGTCACCTCACCGTCCCAGGCATTCAGGGCCGCTGCTTGGTCTTCGGACAGGCGCGCGACCAAGACCGATATCCCTTGGCCGACTTCTTCGTCATGGGTATGCTGAAGGAACTTCTGCACCCAATGCTTACTAATTCGACCCGCCCCGTTGTCTCGAGGGGACCCTTTCAACAGCCTTCTGTGGATCACACACGTTTGCTTCAAGGAAGGGATGTGGACTTCGAGCAGCTCCTGGCTGCGCCCTTCTTCGGCGAACCCCTCGATGCACCCCAACCATGAAGTCCACCTGGGTGGGGCCTCCGCGGTTTGTAATGACTTTGGTCTGAGGAGCACCATGCACGGGCCCTTCTCAAGCTTGCCTTCAATCTTTTTCTGGGATTCACTAGGATCGGCCGAAGCAGCCCTGGGCCCAAGTCGTTCAGCGCCGTCAAAGGTGATCCGGCGGCTTCTTCGTGCAGGGGTGAGGCATTCTCCTTCGGACATAGATGCCTCGGATCGTGCAATGGAGCTATCTCTCTCATGTGTCCAGCTAACCCTGCGGGTAGGGCGAGCACAACCACCAAGGTCCCTCAGGTGGTGCTTGCAGAGGGGAACTCCCTGTTTGGCACCATCAACCTGTTCGTAGCAAGCCAACACGCTGCATTTTCGGCTTGAACATGCCGCGACGTAGAGCTGCCGATGATGGTCGCAAAGCCTGACGGAGGATCTCCTTTTGACGTCAGAGAGTTCTCTGTCCCTCTCCAGGAGCCGGACCGGCTCTCCGATAGCCCGATCTGCACATGGGTCTGTGGCCAATGCTCTCGGTTTGCCTCCATGTTCCAAACCGACTAATACGGCCTCACAAGGGTCATCTTGTACCTCTACTTCAGATTCAGATTCCGCATCCAAGGGTCTGACGACGGCTCCTTCGACTATGGTTCTGGGTGGTGTCCGCTTTGCCCAGAGTTGTCTGAGAATGAACCATCCCGTCAGATAGTACACGCAGAGACTAAGCCCCCGCACCATTCTACGTAGCCATCGACCCATCAAGACGATCACCCTGCGGGTGGACCACCCTGCATAAGCTCCCAAATCCACCAGCCCATTGGCATCCACCGAAGCGTAAGCTTTGCAATGTAGACCGGGTGTTGGTTGCAATTCAAGCGGACACCGCTGCTCGCGACAGAGATGGATTTTCCCCTCCTGTTCCAACGTTTGGCGAAGCGCTTTCGACGTGGAACCCTTCACTCCACGGAGACGAACCCATAACCCGTATCGATCCACACGTGCCCAATGATCCCCGTCTACCTTCAAGCGAGCTATTTGGTCATTCACCACAACAGCTACGTCATTGGGTTTTCTTTCTGAACCTCGACCCTTGACGCCTCGTTGGTAGAATTCGGAATCGACGCCCCCGCTAGAGGCGGGTCCACGGATATCCAGCTTTTCGTATGTGCCCCCAGGTCTAAGTTCGGGGAGGAGCTCCCCCACCTCTTTGGCTACTGCTCTGGTCTGTCTGCAGCAACATTTGCAGAAAGCTTGACAGGGCCGGCAGATAACCAATAGCAAGTAGAGAATCAAAATTGCTCCCAAAACCACGATGGCACTAAACAAACATCTGGCAACCCATGGCCAAAAATCTCCGCATGTCCACACCCCCAGCTGATCCAAGAAGTACAATCCCCACCCTCCTGAGGAGCTCAGGGTTCCAGGTGCTGTTGGTGTGCTGAACCATGAGGAGCCTATCCATGAACGGAAATCAAAGTGGAGGACAGAGTATCCCCACACATGGGCTATTCCTTCAAACGGGATTCCAGATTGAGAACTTTCCTTCGTGGGATCGGACTGACCTTCTGATACTTCGGGTTGATCTTTCCCATTGGTGACTTCTTCCTCCCTAGATCCAGTCATCCCATGAAAGACATCCAGGTACCATGGCAGGCCATACACAGAAGGGGAACCTACACTGGAAACTAGCCCTAATATGAGCGCCCAATTGCAAATGGGCATTGTGACGATTTCGTCAGTATCCAACAATCAAAATGGGCAAAGACTTGAGCCCAAAATGACAGTAGCAAAACACGCTAACCCTCCGTTCTAGTGAACATCCAATTCATGGTGCGTCGTGCACGCCCCCAACAGCACCAATCCAATGGTGGAGCCGAGCGAGCAGTCAGAAGGTTGAAGGAGTCATTGGCTGTTCTTCGAGCTGAGATGAACGATGGTGGTGCTGATGTGAACTTTTCTGCACGTGGTTTGTCAGATGTTTGCACGTATATTGCATTGAGTCACAATCATTTTTCAAGTGCAGCGTCAGATTTTTCTCCTCTTGAATACTCAACGCAACGGAAGTTGTCAAAGCCAAGTTTTGCAATGTTCGGTTCAACAGTGTTAGCTGAATTGCCAGACAGTCTTCGTGCGCAGTCACCAAACGAAACGAGAAGCATTGAAGCATGTTTTGTGCATTCAGGTTTAGACACAGGTCCTGTTGTTCAGGGTGCATTGCGAATTGATGGAGAATTGGTTTTGAAACGTTTTGTTGCACGGAATGTGAGACCAATCACACCCATTGCATGGAAACAGATGATAGGTGACCAGTTGTTTGTCGAAGTTGAAGGTGCAGAGGTTCAAGGTGGAGAGAGTCAGGATGTGCATATGCAAGCGCCCTCAAACGCGCCCCCAGCAGCAATTGCACCAACACCTGCACGCTCAGTAGGTGAAAGACCCGCACTTGAGCCACCGCGACAACCGCGTGATGCACGCGATGACATCGTTGAATACCCTGATGGAGCCCCTAGTGACCTTGTTAGGGAAATGAAGGAACCTGACAACACTAGGAGACCATTGCCAAAGAAGCGACCAATTGAAACTCCTGTGCCAAAACGTTCCACCGGTATCAAAATTGCCCATCAACCACCTGTGCCGGCACCGGCAACAGCGAAAGCAGAGCCAAAGACACCCGCTGTTGTGTCCAATTCGCCTTCAGTTGTCCCAACATCGCCTGCAACTTCACCAGCAGACTCTATGCCTGAAGTTAGAGTTTTTCCCAAAACACCGAGATGCCCAGCATGTGACTCTGGAATGGTAGCCCCTGGAATTCGGCACAACGCCGACTGCAAGCGGAGAAGAGCAGCATTTGATGCTGAGAATTCACCAAGTGTTGCGGTTGGTAGTCCAGAGAGTGTTGAGGTGAGTAGGGAAAGGTTGCAAGTGCATTTTGAGGATATGGAGGTTGACACCGAGCAAGACCCAGCTCCGGCTGGCGGTTCAAGGGAAGGTCAGGTTGAGATGGATGTGGAAGAGACCGGAGGAATCAAAAGAGAGGCTGAGCAACCAGTAGAAGAATTAGAAGCAGAGATGGAGCGTGAGAGAGCCTCCGGGCAACCCATGACTCTCGATTTGCTTTTAATGGATGATGCATGCCAATGCATGCCAGTCAGTAGGACCGGTTTTGTGGAGTCTTGAAGCTGGACTGGACCAGAGAGGGCAGTTGCAACAGGTCCTGAGTTGTTTGATGATGAGTTGAATTCAATCAAATTCATGCCAGAACGTGACCATACTTGCGTGAAGGTGAAGCTAGGTGGTACCAATGTTTTGGTGTGGAAGCCCGATGAGGTGATTGATGACAGCTCGCTAATGCAACTCAATGCTGATCTAGGCTTTGAAGGCATGAAGGAAGAGATTGCCAATTTGGAGAAATGTGGAGCGGGAAAGGTGATAGGCCAATCAGAGGTTGATGCATTGAAGAAAAAGAACCCAAGTATGCGTGTAATTCCAAGCCGTTGGGTATCGGCATACAAGAGTGAAACAAGGGTCAGAGTTAGCTATTCGAGCATACAAGTATTTGCATGCCACGGTTCGACAACAGCTCCAGAAGGTTTATGAGGCCTCCAAAGAACACGCCACACGCAGCAAAGGTACCAAGGATGCACCCAAATAACGGCCTCGACAACAAGAACTCCCTGCGGTCCCACCACAACTCACGTCCGAACTGCTACACTGCTTGTCCACCCGTGGCCGCTGGCCAAAATCACAATTAACCTGTACACAGCAAGCCAATGGGATCAAAAATGGGAAGACTTTTCTTCGCTGACGAGTGCGTTCGATACTCGAAAACAAACAATCGCACCCAGTGCTGGACCAAATGGTAAATCCAGACGTAAGAGATGATCTGCCCAAAGCGGAATTCACCGCAGCCTCCTCATCGAGCGGATTTGGGCCCCCACGAAGAACCACACGAGTAGATGACCAACAGGAGAGGTTTCAGTGAGGTATGCTCAAAGCTGCGCCTGCCAACGTGGGAGACCCACGGCTGGTGGTACCCGGACAGAGTCCATTAGATACTCCGCCTTCTACCCATGAATCTAGTCAAGTGAATCTAGTCAAATCCATACGCCCAACATGGTTCGAAGATGAGACAGCAGCCATGAAGAAGTGGCAAAGCGTGGCCTCCTTGCGGCCGAAACATGGCACTGCAAACGTCCACATGTCAGCCTCAAGACCACGGTAGACGCACCTCTCCTAGGCACAGTCATTGAACAGAACGGAGACGGTTGCTGTCAACATACCGTTTGTGTTTTGCATGTGCATGCAATTTCATGTGAGATGTTTTTCAGTCTGTGAGACTCTTAAAAAAAAATGTAAACAAACGGAAACAACTACACCAGTGATGTTGCCAAGAAGCCAGTGTGACATGTCAAGTGTAGTACCTGTTCACAGGTGGAACAATGCATGACAACCTTATGATGTATGTTTCATCTTACGTTTTACATCTCGAGTGAGGAGGGTGGGTGGGAAACGTGCTATGGTAGCACAAGTAGCACAGGACTGTTTTGTTTCTCCCACCAACCCTCCTCTGAAACAAAACACTCCCCTTGGGGGGAATCGTAAGGTCAATGCAGACCAACCTTGGAAATGCAACCATGTGTTTTTCTGGGTCATGCCACCCATCTCACAACTGGTGAGAAATGTCAACTTCGAATCCCCCGATCTGCGCAGAGAGAAAAATTGAATGGAGCGTGAGTCACCAAATTTTTGCGCAGTGAATCCATGTGTTTTGATGTTTGCGATTTATGATGTTCTTGACTTGTGATGTGTTTACTTTGAAACCTCGACATGTGCGTCAACAAACAACGTTCGACGGCGACGTATGACGTATACATATGAAATGCACATATTCATATATAATAAGATATGTATACGTAGATGTATGTATAAGAATGGAAGCGGTTGACAATGCTTTACGGAGCGTGTGCTCGTTGTCTTGCACTTTTGGCTAGCCAGTTGCCAAACCGTGAAGTGCTGCTTTGGTTTTGAAAGATCCTTCAAGCTATAACTTAGGATATCCAGGCTGATCACCTGGACGTACTTTCGATATCAATTTTCCGAAATGGCAACCGGCTATGTCGTTTTTTCAACCATGTACGGCTCTCGCAATCTGACTGAGCTGCATCAGAACTGGTAATTCCTTCGAGCAAGGACGTAGAAAGTTTTCCTTCGCACTGTTTCTCATTTCAAATCATCAAAACCGTTCCTGTCAGGTTTACTGAGGTTTTTTTTGCACGTATGATGCATTCCACATCAGTAATTCGATAAGATATTTCTGAGCAAGTGCGTGTGTGTGTGTGTGGACCATCTGAAAAGATGTAAAACTTCTAACTATGCAGGGGGCGACAGGGTCGCTGCATGGCTGTCGCCAACGAAGCTCCATGCAGTTGACTAGGATATGGAGTCTGATCAACTCCACGTACCTGCTTCAATTTTCATTCTTCGTTATGGGACGTGGCTAACCCAAGACCGGTTTTCAGTTGCACCAGGACCTTCCTCAGAACTTCAGTGTCAACAGGTTTCAATCCACTGTACGGTTTTCGCAATCTGAATTATTGCTGATTTCGTCAGATGGAACAGTTGCTTTTTGCAAGGACAAAGAAAGAATTCATCTTTATGGGTTTTTCCCTGCCATGTCCTCCAACTTTTGCCTGTCAGACTTTAGGGGATTGTTTGTGCACGCCCGATGCACTCCACATCAGTAATTCGATAAGATATTTCTGAGCAAGTGTGTCACTCATACCGTTGTCCGACAAGGTGGTATGAGCCCTTCGGGGAAAGCCTTTCTAGGCTAACAATTGACGGTAACACGATGTCTGAATTTACAATTTTGAATTGGTAATTCGTTTAAGTAAAGTGAACTGCTGGCCTTTTTTCCAGGTCTCACACGTCGGTCGAGTAAGTGTTGAACAACTGGCCGCTGTACCGGGCCTCATTTTCCTTTCGCAGACGTGCATAGCTGGAAGCCACGATAACAACTCCTTTTCCAACTTTGCTCAAGAGAGTACGGAACTCGACTTTTGATACATGACATGAAACCATGTGGAGGCGTCAGGACATGCTTTAGGTGTGGTTCTTCTTCTTTTTTGGTCGTTGGTGAGGTTCAATTGTGCACGTAAGACATGGAACCATGTGGAGGCTTCAGGACATGCTTTTCAGGTGTGGTCACTTCCTTTTTTGGTTTCTCGGCGAGGTTCAACTGTGCACGTAATTCATCTGAACACTGATAGCCATCGATAGGGTTGACGTGAATGCAGGCCGTAGAGCCTAATGAGGGGAACACTGCACGTCTTTGTGGATGCATCATGTCATTAACTAGTTCCCCATGGGTCCCTATTTCTTCCTTTTTCATGTGTTCTTGCGTTCTCCTCTCTCCAGGTAGGTTTGGCCCGTTGCGTGCTGAGGTTGTTGTAGGTTTTCGCCGTGTCAGGTTGGTTCAGGCGCTTCTGTCCTCCCCCTCCTCCGCTGGTCTTGTTCCGTTTTCCGTCGGCCTCCGCTTTTCTTTTCCCTTGCCTTTCCAGGGTTGCCCGTTCTGGGCTAGGTTTCATGTGTTGGTGTTTGCTCTTTCCCTCTTCTTTTGCGTT